CTGCCGAATATTGGTTCAATAATTTTTTACTATCAACTACCAGGTGTAAATATGAAACCGGAAAATACACGTTAGAAAATACACGTTTATTGCATGAAAATGATAAAAAATATTTTATTCGAAGTATTGTCCATCGGTAGCTATACATTTTTTCCACCTGTTTGACAATTTGTGGATGCTACGCCAAAAAAATTATTGCTCTTTTGAGCCAAACCAACCATTTTCGTACATCTTCATAAGAAGTGAAGCGCTGCTGAGCAAATGCGTGTCCCATCGATGCAAATAAGTGGAGCCAAGTCTGGTGAGTAAGCCGCATGCGAAAGTATTTCCTAACCAAATGCCTCAATCGTTTCCTTGACTAATTTTGCTGTGTGTGATGGTGCATTATCATGAAGTAAAATCACTTTGTGTTGCCTTTTTTGATATTCCGGTCGTTTTTCACACAAAGCTTGATTCAAATTGATCATTTGTTGTCGGTAGCGTTCAGTATTAACGGTTTCGCCAGATTTTAGCAGCTCATAATAGATCACACCTTTCTGATCCCACCAAACACAGAGCATTGTCTTCCGTCCATAGCGATTTGGCCTTGCAGTCGATGTCGATGATTCGCCTGGAGTTACCCATGATCTTTTACGCTTAGGATTCTCAAAATATATCCACTTTTCATTGCCAGTCACAATTCGATGGGGAAATGACTTTCTTTTATACCTGGCGAGCAGCATTTCGCAAGTGGTTTTTCGGGTTTCCTGCTGTCTTTCATTCAGTTCATGTGGAACCCATTTTCCCATCTTCTGGATCTTTCCCATGGATTTCAAATGTATGGAGATGGCTTCTCGTGTCACATTCAATTGATTCACGAGTTATTGTTGAGTTTGAGTCATCCTCATCCAACAATGCTTGCAATTCGCTGTCTTTTTCGGTGGTTTTCCATGTTCTTCGTTTCTCACGTCAAAATCGCCACTTTTGAATTTTTTAAACCACTCAAAGCACTGTGATTTACCAAGAGCATGCTCACCGTAAGCTTCGACAAGCATTCGATGCGATTCTGCAGCAGTTTTCTTCAAACAGAAAATTAATGCTGTCCGCAAATCGTAGTTTCCAGGGACAAAATTCGACATGTTCAACTCTAATACAAACTATACTGTTGTATGAAACTTGTATTGTTGTGAGTTAAAAATTTTTGTCAGATGTCAAAACAAGGAAATGGCGTCAATGGCGCCATCTGACGGTAATTACATTGACAGCTATGGCCATCTATTGGTAAATTCCGGTTTCATATTTACATACCTAGTATACAAGAAAACTGTAAGAGACAAAAATTATTTATTTTCTTCTTATAGAACTAAAGAATTTTTTTAGAATTTTTTATTAACTTTTTAGTACTGCATTTTCTTATTCTTATCAACATGAGAAAATACAGTAATATTAACAAATTCTAAAAACATTCTCCAAACTTTATGACAAGAAAATAAATAATTTTTGTTTCTCATTGTTTTGTAAAGTTGATAGTATTTGAGTAAAAAATTATTGAAATATATTCAGCGATTTTTAATAATTAATATCTTGTTCCTCCCATTGTATTTCACCATTGTGAAAAAAATGATACAGGACTTTTCGTCCCAGTTTAGTTCGCTCTATCTATACAAAAGCGCTTGGCAAAAACTTATGGATCCTCTATATATATACATATATATATA